AATGAAAAAAAAAAGGATATCCTATCTTTGGATCGATTATCAAATCCGAACTAGAATTTTGCATTATAGATCTCAAATGAGTGATTCGTGCCCGAATCACAAAGAATTAATTATTGGGTTCGGATCCGAGAATTTTCTTTGAGCGGGTCCGGGTACAAAAAAATTTAATCAACCGGGTCCGGGTTTGAATAAATTTTTATCATCGGGTCCTGGTCCAAAAATGATGTACTGGAAGGTGCTAGAAACTGCGGAGACGTCTCGTTTTATTCAGAATTGAACGGACTAAAATTTTTTCAATGTATTCCAAATCTGCTAGGATTACTGGAAAACCGTAGTTCTCCGGAGATCTCTTAGACCGGTTCCAAAACATTAATACGAATATTTTTCAGTGCTCTATATAGATCTCGACATCCTCTTTCATTTGGGATCAAAACGAAGATTGCACAAAAGGGATAGCATGTCTAAATAAGCTCCGAAAAATCACAAAATTCCCTGAGAAATGCCGAAAAATAAAACTAGTGTGACGATCTTTCTAGATCGATAGCGAGCTGTGGTTTTTACCATTAGAATCAGCGTGCAAAACTGCATCGGAAAATGTGTTTCTCGTCTTTTGCACTTTAAATCTATATAATGGTGGTAGGTTCTATATGAATTTACCCAAATACATTCGGTCAAATGTTTCCATATATTAACTTATCGATTATTAGTTTCATTTTTTTACTATCCAAGAGGCCTAATAAACTTGTTTTTATGGGATTCATGATAAACATAGAACCAAATGAGGCAGGGCAAAGAAAATTCTATTTTTTGAACGTATTATTGATTTTTCTAATTATGCTCGATCATCAATCTTTCGTAAAACACACACAGTAGTCTAAGAAAATGTCTCACATCTATGTCAACCGTTGTGTAAATGCAAATGATTCTAAATCATTTTCAAAATGAATTATGTTTTATCAAATATTAATAATGTACGAAAGTTAATAAAATTTTGATATATTTTCATAATGCCATATACTACGTTTATAATATAATTTCATTTCATCTAAACCTTGAAAATTTTCACTTTCATTATTTTTATATTGCCAATATAGAAATAAATAATCTTCAATTGAACACATAATCATTTCATCTAATATTGAATTAGCAAATTCATTTTTTGTTAACCAAGGAATTGGTAGACCAATAAAAACTAATTTTAAATATTCATTTATTAATATTTGAATTTTATTAATATTTGATTGTGATTGATCATCATCAGAACAACAAAATGTTAATGAACATATTGCTAAATCTCTCCATAATGTATAACATTCATTTTCATCTACATTTTCAAAATCTAATAGACCAATAATATTCTTATTATCATCCCAAATAACATTAGTTGGACGTATATCACCATGTATTGGATATGCTTTAATTGCTGTAGCTGTTGCTCCTTTTTTTTTTAATATATCCTTAATTATTTTTGATAACTGAGGATAACAATCAAAAACATATTCTTCAACTATATCAATTTCTGTTGTTTCTGATTGTTGTTGTTGTTGTTGTTGTTGTTGTTTTTTTAATCTTATCATTGCCATTGATGTTCTTAATTCATCTAATAATCGTGCTACTCTATGTGAATTTTCTTTTGTGTGAAGAGGTGGATTATGAGTAATTAAAAAATGATGATATTTTGACAAACAAGTGGCTAATGCTAACATTTGTTGTTCATCAAAATCAACCTTTTGAATATTCCCATTAATATATTCATAGAGCCAATAAAAATGATGATTATATTCAATAAATAATGCTTGTGATGATGATAAAGCAATTGGATGTGGTACTTGCAATGATGATGTATCAAGATACTTATGAAAATCAGCCAAATAATTAAGTTCATATTCAAGATTTTGTCCATGTGTTAATTGCTTAAGAATATAACTGGTAGTAGTAGGTGGTAAACATATTTGCCAACGTTTATGAAGACTTTCTGGTTTTGAAATTAACTTAATAACCGAAACATCGCTTGAAGACGATTCAAATACATCAGGCCAATATGTTAATAATATGTGTCGAATATCAGACGTATCATCATCCGTGTCCATTTTAAACAAATCTAAAACAACGATCAATTTTGGAAATTTTCAACTATTTCAAAAATCTTTTCTGACTTCTTTTCTAAGATTCAAAGCAATGAGATTTTCTCTATGGAGTCATTGCATCTCACACTAACGAATATTTATTTCCATTTTTACGGTATCGAAAAACAAAGAGGATGAGAGAGTGATAGTTTCTGATTTCTGTTTTAGACGCTACTTTTCTCCCATTCTTATAAAAGATCTTCTATTTGAATTGAATTGGAATAAAATATAGGATAACGACGATCAGATCTACCCCGACTCTTGAAACTCCTTTCTCGCGCAAGGTATGAATTTTTGTAAAATAGTTTGTATCAAACAGTAATAATAATTAGTACTTACTCTTTTGTAGCTAGTAACTCAGTAGTTCTCCCCTTTATCCCTATAACTCGACGGTTGTTCGCTACTTAAGCGCCTAATGATAACTTGACACTCTCCAACTGCTAATATGACCGCCTATATCAGATTCTTAATAGTTTTACCGGTTTAATCTTATCGGTTTAAAGTTTGCTATGAAATGCATAAGAAAATTTATTAGAAAGTGAGATTATTTAGAGAGTGTATTGATATCGATAATTTAACAGTTTTTCTTTCTTCTTTGACTTTTCCTCCTATATTTTATCGACTCAAAGAGTCAACAGAGTCAAAAGAGTATCGATAGAAATGAAAACACTATCTCAATCTACCCTATTGACTCTTTGAGCCAATAAAATATAGAAAGAAAAGTCAAAGAAGAAAGAAAGAACCGTTAAATTATCGATATCAATACACTCTCTAAATAATCTCACTTTCTAATAAATTTTCTTATGCATTCGTAGCGAACGTTCACATTTCGGATAACGTTGAGAGACTGTACACATATTTCAAAAAGTTTAACAACGAAAAGACGGGAAGAGGAAAACTACTTCGATGACAAATAGTGGCTCACAAAACTATTCGTTCACTATATTTGTTCTAGTTATTATGATCGACAAAAAGAAATTGAAAATAAAGATGGGCAACAATTTTGCAGGACTATGTACCTTTGTGTCCAGGACGACATGCTCATTAAAACATATATATATTTTGAACGTATATTATGCCAGAAAAAGAAATTAGGAGGAAAAAACAGAATGAAAATAAATACTAATGCTAATTGTTAAACTTCAGCGACACTTTTAGTTCGATTCACCGACTATTTCGTAACTGATTTTTGTTTTAATCTTATCTATTAAGAAAATATAGTTGGCTACAACAAATTTTGACTAAGCGAGCAGACCAAGAGTCAACTAAACACCCTAACGAAAAACTAGCACAAATTCATATATAGCTTTTACCAACTTTTCGGCGAACCGGTACATACGCGAATGTTTGAAAATAGATAATCACTCCGCGAAACTTTCAAGTGCTCCATATCTTCGATGCACTAATAAAATATATGCGTATTATGTTGAACATGCCCTTTTTTTACAATTTTAAGATCAGTTCACTTTAAAGTAATCTAACTAGTTTCATACTATGTCACAGAAATATCGTCTGTATGACAATACTTTTCGAACTCACTCCCACTCCACCCACAGATCCCCATTGCCTACCATATACTCATAAATAGCTTTGCGCATGTGTCTGTCCTAAATTCGCATTATGAAAAATTCACGGAATAGTCACGCACACTTTTGTTCTTTTTTTTAAATTGATTTAAACGATTTTTATTGTAACAAAAGAGGTTTTCCCAGTGTTCTGATTTTATAAGAAAAATTGTACAAAAATATGATATTTGGTATTTTTATCATTCAAGTATCTCTATGAAGACAAAATGGAAATTTAATACCAATGTATGATTTAGAATTCGTAGTCTCTTGTCTCACTAA